ACTTCCCCTTATTGGTGACGAGCGTGTATTCCCATTGAGTCTTATTCTTGGAAGGGGGTTTTGTGCAACTCATTTTTAATGGAATACCTGTTTAGCTTCTCCAGCAAGCAGATGCAGAACTGGATAGAGTTAGCAGAAAGGTAGCAGCGGAAGGGGACGAGGTGAACCCCATCATTATTGACCCCAGAAAACCTCCACTGACTGCCTCTGATTAGCACTCTGTGAGCACCCCAACATCATGAGATTTCCTCCTTCGGGTTACCGTGGGGTAGAATTGAAAAGATCTGTTTGCTGTTTCTCTCTGACTTGCGCTTGGGCACTGGGTTGTTCTTAATCTAATATTTTATGCAGAAATTGATTATCTCTACTTTCTGATTCAAAGACGTTTTTATGAGAAGACTGTAAGACACAGCAAAGCTTACAAGACTATAAAGCATGTGTGATTAGCCTGAGTCAGTGGTCTCTGAGTTGGCAGCCAATGGGCTCTGGTCTACCTGACAAAGGGGTGATATCTGAGTCAGTAGCCTTCATGTTCCTTTGAGAGGGTTAACATCCTACAGTCTAATCAGGAGCCCACAATAATGCCCACTTGGATCTTTAAAATGTGCTGTTCCTCAGAGGTTGGTTAAGAATCTTACATTACCAAAGATCATGTATTTTTTTTAGTTAGTCTCTATAAGGGTAACCATTGGGGAAATTGTTCAGTGGTGGGATACACTTGAGGAGAATTCCTCCATTGGCCAACTGTTTGATGATGATGAGCACTAGTACTGCCTTAACAGAATGTGTGTGTGACTAACAGACTGAATTAACTAAACTCAAAAGGATATACTCAGGAAAAGACTTTAGTTCCCCTCTACCATGGTCACAGGCTCCCTGGTAGCACAGTGGGTTACACTTAGGGCTGCTAACCACAAGGTAAGTAGTTTGAGTCTATCAGGTACACCCTGGGAGAAAGATGAGGCTTTCTATTTCTGTCAAGATTTACAGCCTCAGAAACCCTATACAGGGTCACTATGAGTCAGAATTGACTCCACAGCACAGCACCGTTACAGTTACAACACAAATACATAATTTTGTCAATCTCCAAGTTGTTTTTTTTAAAACAGCTGATTCAGATAATTTATTATTTATTTAACCCATGGTTTAATAAAATTTATTAAAATCATAATATTTTCTAATTTGGAAGTTAAGAAGGGGAGTTTACCTTCGTTAAAAGATCCATCTCTCCCAGCAAATTGCTGAACATTTGGTCTATATCATCACTGGATTCACCCATCTAAAAAGAAAGAAAGCCACACATAAACAGTTGAATAAAAGCTAGATCTCGTCAATAAATATCACATCTTCTTTCTTCAAGGGTTCCATCCACGGAAAGGGAAATCCAGAACATGAAGAATTTCAGTCTGAAATTCCAAGTCTCACCACTCTCCAATTTGGTTTGGTCCAAGGTTGAACTGAACCCTGGGAACTGCCTCAGAATGAACCTAATCACTGGGAGGCTGAGTCTCTCTATCAGATTGAATAAACTGGAGCAGAAATAAGCGGTCTGGTATTTCTCACTCATGACTCTGTTTTTCCAAACTAAAATTATAACTCTTTGAGGAGCAGAACTGCCCTTAAAGGTTTTCAAGTCTATGATCTTTATAGAAACCCTATATAAGGTTGCCATGGGTCGGAACCGAATTGACAGCATTTAACAATAACAATCTTTATGGAAGCAGACTGCCATATCTTCCTCCTGTGGAGTGGCTGGTGGGTTTGAACCACTAACCTTTCAGTTATAGCAACTGGGCATTTAGCTACTCTGCCACCAGGCTCCTCAACTCACTGTAGGACAGACATCCTTATGAACAAAAGGAGAAAGTATCATTCATACCACAGATGACTGTGTTACAAGAGATACAGAACACCAGTTCCAACTAAACACATACAGAGTCGGATATGTCAGGAGTGATTAAACATATTTACCGAGTAATTCACTACTTACAAAGGTATGCTGGAAATCAAAATGTTAGTATGTTTACTCAGAAGTGCTGAAACAACAAAGACTTAGAACTAAAGTGGCTAGACAATCAATGGAAAGAATCAGTGAAGAGAGGAACAGAATATTTTTTAGATTATAACCTTTGTTTACCCAAACTGGTGGCAGAGTGGGTTAAGCATTATCAGTTGAAACTCCCCAGCTGCTCTGTGAGAGAAATATGAGGCCGTCTGTTCCTGTACAGACTGACAGTCCCGGAAATTCTAAGGAGCAATTCGATTCTGTTCTATAGGGTCTCTAGGAAAGCACTGGTTTACCTAAACTAAGTGATGCCATTGCCCAAGTGCTACAGTAAGACAGGGGCTGGGATGCCTTGTGAGATGTGATCAGCTGCTCTCTTTCTGGAAATTTTGGCAGTACTGGATTAGGAAACTAGGGAAGATGACTACGAGAATTCCCTCAGCCACTAATATGCAGTGTGTTGTTTGGCCAAGTGAATCAATCAGCTACTTCATCTGTAAAATGGGGTTTGCCTTGGATGCTTTCTAAGGGTCCTAACTTTGCTAAAATACTACAGATTGATATCAATTACGGCTCATGCTAAGAAGTCTGGTGAATACAGAGAACCAGTATATTATTTCAACTAAACAATATTTACACGAGTCCTGGTGTGCTACTTACTGTAAGCTAAGCACTGGACTGCTAACCACAAAGTCGATGGTTCAAACTCATCAGCTGCTCCTTGGAAACCCTATTATACAGGGTCACTGGGAGTCAGAACTGATGTGACAGCACTTAACAACAGCAACAATATGTGTGTTATAAGTGAGTTTTAACCTTTTTATATGTAAACTTTTAAAGACATACAAAATAGTGAGAATAATACAATGAATTTCATGTATCCATTTTCCAGCTTTAACAGTGATCAGTTCATGACCTTTCTTTTCATAGCTTCCCCCAATTCACTATTTTGAAGCAAATACAATTTTTCTATAAATACTTCAATATGTAGCTCTAAAAGATATTTTTTTTCTTTACCACATACTCGGTGTATATGCGTGTGTTAAAAAGAAATTATTTAGAGAACAAACAAGATGGCGGATCGGGTGGATGTGCATTAAGGAGCTCCGTCAGCAACAACACAGAATACAGGACCAAGCTGGCTCAGGTGATGGTCCCAGACTCTGAGTCACATATAAAAGGAATATTTATAAGGTTGGAAGGCTTACAGCAAGAGGAATTTGTGGCAGAAGCAAGAAATCCATTGCTTTCTAGTCCGGGAGCTCAGCTGCTCCAGGAGCC